ACTAAACAGTTGATAACTTAATGTATGTATATATACCTGTACTGAACAGTTGGTAACCTAATGTATGTATATATAACATACTAAACAGTTATTTAATTAATGTATGTATGTATACCTGTGCTAAATAGTTGATGACTTAATAAATGTATATATACTTGTACTAAACAGTTGATAACTTAATGTATGTATATATACCTGTACTGAACAGTTGGTAACCTAATGTATGTATATATAACATACTAAACAGTTATTTAATTAATGTATGTATATATACCTGTACTAAACCGTTTATGGCCTAATGTATGTATGTATACATGTACTAAAATTTGATTACTTAATGTATGTATATAAATATGTGTACTAAACAGTTGATGACATAATGTATGTATATATTCATGTACTAAACAGTTTATGATGTAATGTATGTATATATACCTTTCCTAAACATTTTAAGTCTTAATGTATGTAAGTATACCTGTACTAAACAATTTATGATTTAATGTATGTATGTATACCTGTACTAAACAATTTATGATTCAATGTATGTATGTATACGTATACTAAACATTTGATGACTTAATGTATGTATACCTGTACTAAACAGTTTATGACCTAATGTATGTATGTATACCTGTACTAAACTTCTGATTACTTAATGTATGTATATATACCTGTACTAAACAGTTTATGATGTAATGTATGTGTATATACCTGTAGTAAACATTTTAAGTCTTTATGTATGTATGTATACCTGTACTAAGCAATTTATGATTTAATGTATGTATGTATACGCATACTAAACATTTGATGGCTTAATGTATGTATATTTACCTGTACTAAACAGTTGATGACTTAATGTATGTATACCTGTACTAAACTGTTGATGGATTAATGTATGTAAGTATACCTGTACTAAACATTTGATAATTAATGTATGTATGTATACCTGTACTAAACAGTTTATGACCTAATGTATGTATGTATGTATACCTGTACTAAACAGTTTATGACCTAATGTATGTATGTATATATACCTGTACCAAACAGTTGATGACTTAATGTATGTATGTATATATACCTGTACCAAACAGTTGATGTCTTAATATATGTAGGTATACCTGTACTAAACAGTTAGTGGTTTAATGTATGTATGTATGTATACCTATACTAAACATTTGAAGACTTAATGTATGTATGTATACCTGTACTAAACAGTTGATTACTTAATGTATGTAGGTATACCTGTACTAAACATTTCGTGGTTTAATATATGTATATATACCTGTACTAATCAGTTGATGACTTTTAATATCTATGTATACCACCACTAAACAATTTATGATTTAATGTATGTATGTATACCTATACTAAACAGTTGATGACTTACTGTATGTATGTATATGTGTACTAAATATTTGATTACATAATGTGTGTATATATACCTGTACTAAACAGTTGATGACTTAATGTACGTATACCTGTACGAAACAGTTAATGATTTAATGTATGTATGTATACCTATACCAAAATTTTATGACTTAATGTATGTATGTATGTATATCTGTACTAAACACTTGGTGGCTTAATATATGTATGTATGTATACCTGTGCTAAATAGTTGATGACTTAAGAAATGTATATATACCTGTACGAAACAATTTATGACTTAATGTATGTATGTATACGTCTACTAAACATTAATGACTTAATGTATGTATGTATACCTGTACTAAACACTTGATGACTTAATGTATGTATGTATACGTCTATTAAACATTTGATGACTTAATGTATGTATGTATATATACCTGTAGTAAACAGTTGATGACTTAATGTATGTAGATATACCTGTACTAAACAGTTTGTCTTAATGTATGTATGTATACCTGTACTAAACATTTGATGACTTAATGTATGTATACCTGTACGAAACAGTTATTTACTTAATGTATGTATCTATACCTGTACTAAACATTTGATGACTTAATGTATGTACTAAATAGTTCTTGACTTAATGTATGTATGTATGTATACCTGTACTAAACAATTTATTACTTAATGTATGTATGTATACCTGTACTAAACATTTGATGACTTAATGTATGTATGTATATATACCTGTACTAAACAGTTGATGACTTAATGTATGTATACCTATACTAAACAGTTATTGACTTAATGTGTGTATTTATACCTGTACTAAACAGTTGATGACTTAATGTATGTATGTATACCTGCACTAAACAGTTTATGAATTAATGTATGTATGTATACCTGTACTTAACTGTTGATGGATTAATGAATATATGTATATCTGTACTATACACTTGGTGACTTAATGTATGTATGTATACCTGTACTAAACAGTTGATGATTTACTTTATGTACGTATACCTGTACTAAACAGTTGATGACTTAAAATATGTAGTATACCTGTACTAAACAGTTGATGACTTATTATATGTATGTATGTATTCCTTTACTAAACAGTTGATGGCTTAATGTATGTATGTATACCTGTAATAAACAGTTGATGGTTTAATGTATGTATGTATACCTGTAATAAACAGTTGATGGTTTAATGTATGTATGTATGTATACCTGCACTAAACAGTTGATGACTTAATGTATGTATACCTTTAATGAACTGTTGATGGCTTAATGTATGTATGTATACCTGTACTAAACAGTTGATGGCTTAATGTATGTATGTATACCTGTACTAAATAGTTGGTGACTTAATGTATGTATGTATACCTGTACTAAACAGTTGGTGACTTAATGTATGTATGTATACCTGTACTAAATAGTTGGTGACTTAATGTATGTATGTATACCTGTACTAAACAGTTGATGGCTTAATGTATGTATGTATACCTGTACTAAATAGTTGGTGACTTAATGTATGTATGTATGTATACCTGTGCTAAACAGTTGATGGCTTAATGTATGTATATATCCTATTACTAAAGAGTTGATGAATTAATGTAAGTATGTATACCTGTTCTAAACAGTTGATGGCTTAATGTATGTATGTATACCTGTATTAAAGAGTTGATGGCTTAATGTATGTATTTATATTTGTACTAAACAATTGATGGCTTAATGTATGTACTCAACAGTTGATGGCTTAATGTATGTATGTATACCTGTACTAAACAGTTGATGTCTTAGTGTATGTATGTATACCTGTACTAAACAGTTGATAGCTTAGTGTATGTATGTATACCTGTACTAAACAGTTGATGGCTTAATGTATGTATGTATATATATCTGTACTAAACAGTTGATGACTTAATGTATGTACTAAACAGTTGATGGCTTAATGTATGTATGTATACCTGTACTAAACAGTTGATGACTTAATATATGTATGTATACCTGTACTAAACAGTTGATGACTTAATTTATGTATTTACGTATACCTTTACTAAACAGTTGATGACTTAAAATATGTATGTATACCTGTACTAAACATTTGTTGACTTAATTTATGTATGTACATTTACCTGTACTATATAGGCTTTTTATTGTGTTTGAATCTTTGCGTTAAACATTTTTTTAGTATTTTGTGTTTTAATATATTTGAGTATACCTGTACTTAACAGTTGGTGGCTTAATGTATGTATGTACATTTACCTGTACTAAATAGGCTTTTTATTGTGTTTGAATCTTTGCGTTAAACATTTTTTTAGTATTTTGTGTTTTAATATATTTGAGTATACCTGTACTTAACAGTTGGTGGCTTAATGTATGTCTGAATACCTTTACTAAACAATTATTTTAATACAGTATATCTGCTAATATCCATACTGAGCAGTTGTCTTTTACTCTTCCTAATCCTTTTTCTAGACAGTTGAATTTTTACCGTATTTGATTACCTTCAATAAACAGTGACGTATCGTTACTATGTTTCTGAATATGTGTACTAAACAGTTGATGTTTCACTGAATTTCTGATTAGATTTTGTTTTTTAAATTTTAAAAGATCTGAGAGTGGTAATTTTCAGTTTGGTTAATCATGATAGACTGAATATTTATGCTTAATTATCCTAAGGCAATAGCTGATATAATTTATTAGTTATTTGGTTTATTTAACATATAGACATTTTTTTTAAATGAAATAATTTCAGGAAATTTTTCCAAACAAAAGTCACCTACCATCTTACAGTTCCCCAGCCATTGAAACTCATTTACATAGAATACCAGGCCTTTCAAAGAAGTTTATTTATTTAAATGATGATGTCATGTTTGGAAAGGAAGTGTGGCCAGAAGATTTTTATACACATTCTAAAGGCCAAAAGGTAAAGTAGATGTCATGTTTCCACTCTTATGGTAAGAGACTTGCATAATGTGTGTGTATATATATACAAAATATGTAATCTATTTAAAAAATGTTTTGTTCCATACTTAAATGTTTAGTATTAATGAATGTGTCTTATTTATGCACATTTCATTTTCTTCTTTATTTTTATTTAAATTCAGGACATTAATTATTCATCATGTGTGAACTATATACAGCCTAGCTAGCTGTTTATTAATTTTTTCTTCTCTCTACAAATGTTATCTAATATGATAGTAAGTGATGCTTCACATGTTCTTCTCTTAACTTTTTTATCCAATTATTTTTAGTTACTCCTTTTGTAAAATAAAAAAAAATTAATCAAGACACACGGTGGTGTGTCATGTGGCCAAAACAGTCTGCTGCAGAACACACTGTGTGTTATTAACAGGAGTGATAGTAAAGCGATTTTCAACCTTCTGTATCTTGGAGTGTGGTAATCCAAACTATCACATATTTTCTGTGGATGTGCTCTCCTTCACATAACAAATTTCAAGACAATCAATTAAGAATAAAATCTTCAATTTTGATTGTATTCTTTTTTTTATTCTTTGCACCAAAAGTATAGAAACTTTATTTGATAGAAAAACATACTTAACTTTTGTGAAAAATTTTCAAATTTGGTACACTGATAGATTTTTTCAACCTAGGAGTCTCAGTTGGTGTAAATATAAGCCACATGTGCAAAGTTATTAAGCAAAACCACTCAACTTTGACAAATTTTTTGCACATGCCTATGCAGAATGTCCTGTGAGTAATCGGTTCAACATTTTTACTTCAACTTCACTTAAAAGTAGACCATTTATAGTTTTTTGTCATTTGGATTAAAGATGGCTGACTTAGAGCAACAAAACTATAGAGTGAAAAGAGCAGCACCATTGTGGGCTTAATTGTTGGAAATTTAATTAAAACTGCCGGTTACACCAAATGTATTTATTTGGAGGATTTTGTCATGACAAATGGAGCTCACAAGTTGCTAACTCGAGGTAATTTACAGTTAGAATAAAGAAACAGAGTACTAACATTGATCAATTATAACAAAATTTATTACTCATTTCTAAACAACATCCAATATAAATCAAAAGTTTGTTAATCATAATTATAAACCATAATTTCTTGGTATTCTCTCGACCATCCAAATAGAGTCCAGCACTACCCGCAAGTAGTCCTTCCACTCTATTGGTTGCTTTAAGGG